ATGAACTGTTTAAAGACCACTTGAAAGAGTCTCCATCTTGTCTGTGTGGTGATGCTTATGAAACTGCTACACATTATCTCTCACAATGTCCAATGTATACTTATGAGAGACAAACTTTAATTAATGAGATTTTTGAAGTGAGTCCGGTTAATCTTGATACTAAAACACTTCTAAATGGAAGCACTGTGTTAAACAATACTGAAAATAAATCTATACTTGATAGTGTTCTTAAATATATATATTCAACTCAAGAAGACTTGTTTAATTAATCGAAACAATCTATAAATTTTGCTATATATAGTCATAACTGATAAAATACTGTCCTTAAACCATTATGTGATTCTACTGTTTGTTATATATACATTGATGTTTTAATATTATACACCTAAGGGATTATGCTTTGAGTGCTGTTTTTACTGATGGGTGCAATAAAGTAAAACATAAATGTGCTAAGTTTGCATGCTTAGTGTTCTGTGGTTTATTCTGGATTTTTCTCGAGTGGATGACATGTGAACGGTAGAGGCCGTTAGAGATTTTTTGGGGGCACTAATGACTTGCAAAACAAAAAACAAAAAAACAATTGTAGCAATTTCTCTGTTTAATATATCATTAGGGCATTGCTTTCCTATTACTGATTAATTATGATTGACTTTTTAATATGAGCATTGTATAGCTAAAAAAATCAATTAAATAATTATTTGTAATTGAAACAAACATGGAATTATCTCCCCTATACCATCTGCTATATATGTATATGTCTATGCTACTTATTATATATGACTTGCATTAATATTTTCTTGCAAACCATTTCATTCATCTTTGTCTGTGTCATGTCAACCTAAGGAGAGAACTTATATAGGCCTAGCCTGCTGTTAAATCCTATTGTTTACTCAATAAAATATGATGAAAAAAAAAAGATCTGAAGGACGCCTACTTCCACATCCCCATTAAGAAGTCGGCACGGAGGTACCTCCGTCTTACTTGCAACGGAAAGGTCTTCCAGTTCCGGGCCATGCCGTTCGGGCTCACGACTGCACCTTTGGTTTTTTCACTCATGCTCCACCTCGTGAGAGAGTCTCTGGTGCAGGTCACCCGGTTGGTTCCGAAGCTCTTACTCAAGGTCGGCTCACTAATCCCGGCACCAATGCTGTCAGGCGTGCCCTCCCGGTCAGTTACCGGGACCCAGTCCTATTAGGCCCGGTCCTGAGTTTTATTCTTCTGGGAACCTTGGGGGTTTCCCCCCCCCCCATGTGTTTGGTTTGCTGGACTGGGGGCCGGTTTCCGGACTCCGTTTTCCCCTGGCTTAGGGTATACGGGTGCCTGCGGGCAACCTTCTTAGGCCACCCTTACCAGCTTGCGGATGGTTTTGGGTTGCGGCAGCATCCCGGCAGTTACGGGCCTAGCCTTCCAGAGAAAAGTCGGAGGTTTCCCCATCTCAGGATTTTGTTTTTCTGGGGAACCGTTGCAATACGGTTCAGGGCATCGCCCTTCCACCGATGGAGAAGTTCGAGAAGGACAGAGCTTTTGCTCTGATCTTCATCGGCCGGTCTCAAGTCCAGGTACGTTGGTTTCTCAGTTTTCTGGGATATTTCAACGCCCTGGCCGATGTGGTCCCCTAAGGGAGACTTCACAACAGGCCTCTCCAGATGTTTCTCCTTGCCAACTGGGTCCCTTCTTCAAGGGACTGGGAATCCTTGCTTCCTCTGAACCAGTCGATCAAGGAGTTTGCACGCTGGTGGACTCTTCAGGACAATGTTCTCCGATGGGTTCCTTTGTCCAAGCCGGTTCCCACCATGACCCTGTACACGGATGCATCCATGGCAGGGTGGGAGCTTATTTCGACGGGCGTTGCCAGTCGGGTGAGTGGTCTGGGGAACAGCTCTCGGAGCACAGCAATCTTTGTCAGGAAATGCAGTTGACAATTTGTGTGGCAAGCATATACCAGGCAGGTTGAATGTTCTGGCGGATACTCTTTTCAGGCGCCGCCAGCCGGTTTTTACAGTGTGGCAAATGAATCCCTCGATTTTCGCAGGAATTTTTCAGGTGTGGGACAGGCCTCACATTGACCTGTTCGCCACTTCACTGAACAATCAGTTGCAAACATTTGTCTCTACGGTTCCAGATCCAAGGGCTTTGGCCGTGGACGCTCTGTCTCTGGATTAGGAGGGTATGTATGCATATGCATTCCCGCCCTTCAACCCGGCGGGCAGGGTGCTGCAGAAGTTTCGGGAGCATCAGTGTTCCATCTCCTGATAGCGACCCTGTGGCCGAGACAGCCCTTGGTTTCCGGAGCTTTTGTCGCTTCTGTTTTTTGCCCATTAAGCAGGGTCAACAGGATATCTCCTCTCAGTCAGTATCTAGATGGATCTGTCAGGTCATCAAGTACGGTTACGACCACTCGGATGATCAGGTTCGGGCGTTGTATAAGGTGATATCTCATGAGATCAGGGCCCTTGCTGCGTCATGGGCCCTCCTCAATGGGTCCCCCTTTCAGGAGGTCTTGTCCGCGGCTTTCTGGCGCGGACAGACTACCTTCACGGATTTTTATCTCCGGTCCTTGGCTTCTCATTTTGATGGATCGTATTCCCTTGGACCGGTGGTGGTTGCAGAGTCTGTGGCTGTTCCTCCACAGTAGTTCAGTGATTTTAAATAGTATGCTATCAGGCTCCACGGTGGTACACCTGCTCGTTTCACGGGGAGGTTTTCCATTTTTTAATTACTTGCGGGGATTTATTAGGGGGGTTCCTTGAACCTTTTCCCTACCTTGAGCATGTCTCGAGTTTGTTCCGTCAGGCTGGTCTGCCTGGATTTGAAGCCTCCACTACGGTAAGACGAATTCGCATACTTAAGTTATGGTAATGATTACTGAAATGAAATTGAGGTTTTTGAGGTTAAACCAATTTTCATGATGTAATACTTACCATAACTTTATGGAGTCCCACCCTGTATTCCTCCCCTTGCCTCCTCATCCCGGTAGCCTTTTGGCTCCATAAAAGGGGGTTTGAGGAAGGGAGATCACTCCGTGGCTCTGTCATCGAGATATGGGTTACGCCACGGTAGGGAGCTACAAAGATGGGTGTAGGTATTGTATATGCATACTTAAGTTATGGTAAGTATTGCATCATGAAAATTGGTTTTACTTGAAAAACCTCAAATTTACGGAATAATGCCCCTTTAATCAATTGCTAAAACTGTGACCGCTCGACATTTTGGATAATTTTTAATGGGTTAAATTCAAACTTGTAGAAAGATTTAATTGCATACAATGAACGCTCGTAAAAGAGCGATAACCACCATTATACGACTGTATTTACTGAGGTATGACCCTTTAATCAATTGTCTTCAGGGATTGATGTCAGGAATATGTGTTTGAAGATTGGTTGAAAACTTAGTCAAGAACCTGCAGACAACACAAATGTTGTCCGACAGACAGATATGATGATATCATTATATGCTCCACAACAGCCTGCGAGCAAGCAGAAATGTCGAAATAATTACAATCTGATATTTTCATCCAAACATTTCCAGCTCTTCACATTGATGATGTGACAATCATGTTCAAGATCGGTTTAATACTCTTGAATAATGATTTACTTGAATATCAATACACATCAGACAACACTTAGATTTTGTTTTACACATTTATCACAGTAATATTTCTTTTCTTCCAAACTTAGAACTTATTTGGTGACATCACAAATAACTGTACTAACACATATTGCATTATCTTTGCAAGCTTAAAATCCACATGTTTGTATTTATGGTTATTAAAACGTAGTTAACCTTCTTGAAATACCTTTTATCAATTACTGGACAGTGAATCAAGAAGTTATTGCTTTTAAAATGAAAAAAGAAGAAGATCTAACCCGGTCACCATCTTGAAAGGCATATATTCGGACATGTTAATATCAGAAGCTCAACACAAAGCTCAAGACATGCATATGCGTATAACATAATATCTACAGGGGAACAACAGTTAACGTCATTTAAAAGACATGCCTTCATATCTGTGCATATGTGTATGTGTGCCGTACACAGGGTATGTTTGTGTATTTGTCTCCTTATGAAAGCGCAGAACTGATGCCGACTTTATAGTGCTATCCCACTGAAATACCATGCCAAAGGCACCCAGCGAAGCATTCTGCCCGGTCACATTATACTGACAACGGGTGAAGCAGTTGTTGCCAATGCTCTAAATGCTTAACGTTAAGGAGGGAATATCAACTACCATTTTGAAGGATTTTTGGTATTTCCCAGCTCGGGAATTTGCATTATTCCATGTTATCTAATGACATAGAATCTTCAATTTAATCTCTGTACAAGTAGTTATCTACAGTATGAAGCAGACTATAATAACAAATTATATACTGATATGGGTCACAGCACAACAAACCCCTGTCAGATCGAGCACAATTTTATAAATATTGTCAATCCTGTTTCAATTAGGCATACACGAAATGTTACCAAGATTTTGCAACTTCTTGTACATGTATGTCATTGATACATGTAAAACTGTTAAACCGATATCTTAGTAATGTTGTAGTGTTACGGATGAAACCTTAGCAATGATATTCTATAGAATGCATGTTGTCGATGCTAAATGATGCCACCTTATTATGCTTCAGTGATTTTCATTCTAGTCCTCCATATCTTACAAAATAAGTTAGTATCGTGATAGTTATGGGTAATACATCTGCAAATATACCGGCATCAATAATACTACTTACTTAATAATAGACTTGCTCTGTTGGATTCATATTGCAGAAGAATTATTTATACATGTATATTGTACTTTTGAAAATAAATTTGTACTTATTGAAAATGAAATTCATTTGTTCGTTTTATAACCTAGGAGAATATGTGAATTCTGAAGGATTATAGCTGTTTGAATCGTAGCATTCACAATATCACAATTGAATAGCATGTCCTGATTTGCCAATAGAGTGTGGATGTAGATGCCAGCGTCTTCTTATTTTCTTAATGTTATTTTATTTTCATAGAACAGTGATACGGTTAAACCCCGGAAACCCATTCATGCCGCCGACAGAAGTAAGCTGCCCATGTTCTGTGTTGTTTATGTTGTTGCATGTAATATGGTCAAGTTAATCCCGGACGAAAAATGTGCACGGATAAAATTGCTCCAACGAAAGATTGAACAATTAGGTGAGTTTAAAAATGTATGAATGATTGCTAAATCTATCATAATGTATTATTGGCCATATGCAATTTTGATATTTTGTCCTTTTTTAACTTCAGTGATATAAAATATACCGTACGTTGAACGTACATGATGTAAATTGAACTTTTAAAAGTTGACATTTTCGTATCAATCAAACATGTATCTACTAATACAGATTCAAAAAGGTTACAATTATTGTTTATCATTATTTTATCAAGGTTTCCAAATGGTGATCCTCATAACAAAAATTGACCTGTTGATGAAAGAGGATATTTCGATGACCTACGGTAGCGATCAATTGAGGGACGAAATGGAAGTTCTCCATAAAAAGATTGGCATCGACGAAAAGAATATGTATGCCGTACAAAACTACTGCCGCGAAACCGGAACCGATGATCATATGGACCAGGCTCTCCTCTACGCCCTCAGATGCATATTACAAAAGTTGACCGACATAAGTGATGCCTATGGATCCCAGAATGAGGAAGAATGATTGAGCAGCAATTAAAGAAAACTTCACTAGATATTGTTGAAAGAATTATGCTATAAAATTCAAGCGAGATACATTTACCTCTTCCTAAAACAAGTGGAACTTGTCATAAATTACTCAATGACAACTTTTTATATGTTTGTAAAGCTAGAAGAAAGTTAAAATGTCCATTTTATGAAGGGGATCGAAGGCAAAGATTTAACGCTTGTTTCAAAGTGTCAAAAGGTGTTAATCGCCCAGTTGAATGTGATGAAACACGGGTGGATCGGAAACATTCAAGAGAAGCTGAAGGTTTTCTACCAAAATGACAAGTTTATTTACATAGAAAAATGAAAAGTGTCAAATCTCCTTCAACGGTATCAGACAAAGTATTTCAGGCCCATTTACAAACAAACTTGAGTTTATGTTTTTTGCAATGGCGTATTATATAGATTTTTTCTTTTTATGTATTTATTTTCCTTTTGTTATAACTCTTTAACATATTTTATCTAAAATATTTACTACATGGAAAACACATTATTTAATCGCACAGTTGCCATGAGACTGGAACGAATATCAAATTTACTATGGAACGCTGATATTGAAATTAATGATATTCTTATTTCAAAGATTCGTTGCTAACCAAACTTGTGAAAATATATAACTGCGTTGTAAAGAGAAATATCATGGAGGATAATTCCGTTGAAAGCCGATTTAAAACTACACTTTCAAAATATGAAATGTTTACATCTTATGTTTTGATTTTTGCGATGTAATTCTTCACAATGAAATTAAAATAAGAAGAGGACCACTTTATAATAGATGTCTTTAAAATGTGATGATGTGGCTATCTTGATAATTGCATAGATTATATGACGGATGGTGTTTGAATATGTTAGTGTGATTTGTGATGTTTATTTTTTGCCATGTATTTATTTTTAGCCGATTCTTATAATTACTGAAATAAATACATCTACAAGTTTATCACAAGATAATTTTTAGTTCATAATGTCAATTAATAGAAATAATATTTTTTATTGAAATTGATTCACTCTGCAACACAGATAATCTTAAATTTTGTAAGTCTTTATTAAGTGTCAATAAAATTAGATCGAACTGCAACGTTAGTTGACAGTATTCGTTTGTTGTCGATTTCGCTATTAAAACAGAGACTTGTTAAAGTATATGTAATACAAGTCTTCGTCGGCTGAAATTTATACGGCGTTTCATTATAAGTTAACCTGCACGAAGGGTAAGTGAGCTTATGCCTTGATGCGGCGTCGGTTGTCCGTTAACTTTTCCTACAAATTGCTACTAGTCATAAACGACTGAGGAGATTTTGACAAAATTTGGTCAGAAGCATCCTTGGGGAAAGGGGAACAAATTGTGTATAAATGCTTTGTCTGGCCCCCTGGGGGCTGAGATGCGGGGCACAATATGCGAAATATAGCAAAATCTTTAAAACCTCTTTTCTGCAGGAATGAAAGGATTTGTTCTATATTTGGTCTGAAGCATCCTTGGGTAAAGGGGACCAACTTTTGTAGGAATCAAAGGATTTGTTCCATATCTTATCTGAGGCATCCTTTGGTGAAGGGTAATCAATTTTGTATAAACCATGGGTTTGGCCCCTGATGGGCCTGATGGGCGGGGCCCAATAGGGGAAATATAGCAAATTCTTTAAAATCTATCTTCGTCTGTAGAAATGAAAGGATTTGTTCCATATTTGGTCTGAAGCATCCTTTGGTGAAGGGAGACCAATTTTTTATAAACCGTGGGCCAAAAGGTGGCAATTGGGCTATATTGCTACAGTACAAACGACTTCTTCTGTAGAACTATGCTCTGGATATCAACCATATTTGACTGGACGCATCCCTAGGTGGTAGGGATTCAAAATTGTACAAATGGTTGCTGAGGGGTGGGGCCAAAAAGGGGCAAATTTGCTATATTGCTATAAACGACTAAATGTGACCTTGAAAGTGGGTCCAAGTCATTCAAATGAAGAGGTAGATAGCCATTCATCCAAGCCATTTTTATTCAGAAGATGTCGTTTAAAGATTTTTACCTGGAATAAATGTAACTGTAATTAATTTTAACAAACTTGGTAGCCCTTCATCCAAACATGCTTATGGCCAAATATCAACGTTCTAAGCCTAATGGTTACATAAGATTATGTTTAAATATTTTAAACATAATTGACCCCTGTGAACTTGAATATAAGTCAAGGTCATTCATTTGAACAAAATTGGTAGCCCGTCATCGTAGTATGCTACTGGCATATACTGGTTATATAGAAGAAGTTGTTTAATGTTTAACATATTTGACCCCTGTGACCTTGTATATGGATGAAGGTCGATTACCTTAGCAACCTTCATCCCAGCAAGCTACTGGCCAAATATCACTATCCTGGTCCTTTTTGGTACTTTAGAAGAAGTTGTTTAACGTGCTTTAAGACAATTGACCCCCTGTGACCTTGAAGGTGATTGGAGGTCATTCATTTGAACAAATTCGGTAGCTCTTTATCCCAGCATGCTACTGGCGAATTATCACCATCCTGGGCATTTTGGTTGTTCTGAAGAAGTTGTTTAAAGTTTTTGACATATTTGACCCCCGTGACCTTGTGTATGAGTGAAAGTCAATTATTTTAACAAACTTGGTAGCCCTGCATCTCAGTTTTTACTTCTGGCCAAATATCATCACTCTAGGCCTTGTGGTTATTAAGAAGAAGTTTAAAGCCGGACGACAGACAGATGACGGACGCCGCGCCACTGTATAAGCTCACTGAAAAGTTTTTAATTACTATGGATCCGCCAATACCGAGTTTGTCAGTGTCAGTGTCAGTCCCGGTTGATTAACAAACGGATGTGATGTTGACAAAAATGACATAAATTACAAAAAGCTTGATATAAAGCTTAACCTAACGCTTAGCGTATCAACTCCAAAGCCTTTCATTAATCATTGATCCCTTATGTCTTAAAAAAACTGAGTTGAACTTTTCTCGCAAACGAAAGGAATACAGTGCAACCTTTCGCTTAAATATTAGATTTTCTTCGGTGATATTTTAGCAAGTACTCTTGACTGAAAACAAAATTCACGTCTGGGATTCAAAATCATCAACTTCCCATGTTAAGTATACATGATAAGGAAGTATGCCAAATATGAGGTTGTCATATTTTCGGAACAATATCTCGAAATATCCTATTGATAGGTAAAAATATTCATCATCGTCGTGTCATTTTTGCAGACAGACAGCATCATTGGTCAACGACGCAGCCACTGTAAAGCCAAGAGACTTATTGTTTTCCAATATGATCTATATCATCTTATATTTCTTTTTGATTTTTATGAAATGTTAGTGTTTATTGTTTATCCGTGTCTCGATAAAGGAGAGGATATCTCCGACAATTTGACAACCTCATTATTTCTACACTTTTTGAACTACTTCGTTGCCGCATAAACCAATATGAAGTAATTCGTAGCCTACAAACATACGTTTGCAAGGGACAAGAGTAATATGGAAATGTATACGGGCGTTTCTTCTTTGATTTACATATATTGGAAAGGAGGAATGATTACAATGCAGACAAACAAAAATGGCAAATCGTCAAATTCAGAAACACGAACACTTTTATATCACAACATATAACAGAGATGGAAAATCACTATGAAACAATAAAACAAAATCAAATATATGGATACATTTCAACGCTGTTTTCGTTGCGTTATTCGGTCAAACCAAAATATTTTGACATTGTTTTCCCTGGTATTCTGTGCGACTTTATTTAATTCGCTCTCTAGGAGGTCAATAGAGTTCATACAGATCATATGTTGCATAACACACGTATGTGGACTTAAAATTGTATGATCTTCACATTGTGGCCGCAGCAATCTCATCTTTACCCCCTAGTGGACCAGTCTCACTGTCTCTCTCAAGTATTTTGGAGCATCTCCATAAATTACCTGCGCAAGTTCATTTGATCAAAACTCATAGTACATATCTTATTAACTATGCATGATCCAACTGAAAATTTATAATTTGGCACGTGCGACAACTTAATCTAAATTATAATCTAACTTTTCCCTACCAAAACAACAGTACTACATGTAGATGTGCCATATGGCAATGACAGTTACCCCTGTTTGTTTTAGAGAGCTCACACTTGCGTCCCTATTTCTGTCCTTGACTGACCTTGTTGCCACTAGATGGATAGTCCTATTTGCAATTTGCAGTTATCCGTCAATTAATGCAGGGTGTTACCCAAGTCGTAAGGTTTTGAACTCAAATGTACTTTTGACCAAAGTGTTGTTCCCTATTGAAAATATGCCATGCACTTGCGGGCTGTGGAATGATGTCCCAAGTGTACACGATTGAGATAATTTTGGATTAACCTTTTTTATTTTTTTTCATAGGTCTTTTTTTTTGTGATAAATAAAACATGTGTAGGGTTAATTATTAATGCTTCTCTTAATTTTTTATTGTTGTTATTGTTCTGAACAATGCCACATATGTAAAAAGAATGGTAAATATAAAAATCAAAATTATCTATCGCATTTCTTAGATTTCCATAAAATCACCTCCTCATGGCGGCATAACCGCTATGTGACAGTTTCAACGAACTCTGCTCCAAATCTCCAAAGAAGATCAGTTAATGAAGTGTTCAGATCAGATCCCTTTTATTTCAGGATTAGTATTGAAAGAAGTATACAAAACTGATTTAACTTAATTAAGATATAATTACACTTTGTTGCCTATTGCAAAAAAAGCTTACACGTTATATATTTGGCTTTATCTCCCCAAAACATACATGCCATACAAAGTGCATATGTCACATATTTGCCATCCACTAATTAACTTCAAAAGCCAGTTCCAGAAAATAAACATTTAGTTTATTGGTAGGGTCACACCAGCTCTTGAATATATCTGAACTAAATTTAACTTAGTTTATGTTGAACGCAGACATATCTGCATCTATATTCAGATCATAATGTATATCTATTTAACTATAATATATAAAAGTGTCTTTGTTATGACGTCCCTCCGATGTTGTAAATTTCCTTTTATCATTCCCAAAAAACTTTTCAAAAATTGTTGTATTTGATGCATGGATCCTGTTCTCACTTAAGGAAATTCTGGCAGTATGTTTCAGTGAGGTAGCACTATAAAGTCGGCATCAGTTCCGCGCTATTACAAGAAGACAAACACGAACATATCGCAGCCTCCCAAAATACACACACATACACTACACGCATGCATCTTGCACACAGGGGAGGCCGTCCTTAAATGACCTTAGCTGTTAATAGGACGTTAAACAAAATCAAACAAACAAACAAAAAACAAAATAGTTGCTAATTTTCATTTTGAAAATGAGTATCTCTTATCTATTTAGATTTATCCAGTCTGAGTGAATGTCCTCGAGTCCTTTGATCTTGTTTTGTTAACAAAAGTTCCTGTGATGCTGTTGTTTAAATTAAGTAATAATAATACTGTCGGAATTAAGTTCATAGATATACATACATGCTAGAGGTAATTTTATGACTGTTATGTAATACAATGAAAATGTTTAAATACTTATCAATTACATATCAATTATGTTTACTTGTGCTATAACTAAGGAGCAGACCAAGGATAAATATAATCATTGAAGTGAATTATGTAAGAGTCATCTACAAAGACGCAAAAGAATTCATATTCGTTGATATTTTGTAAATTAAGACTCGTCGTACCAGCTTATAGAAACATATTAGGGAAGCCTTGTGACTGAAGAATTAAGTCTGATATATTGTTGTTGAGAATATTTTTGTTTTTTAAATCATTACAATTACCACAGCCATGTAACAGGACAGTTATACTATATAATTTACAATTGCCGTGTTATCCCAAATAAAAAGCATGGGAAGAGCATCTGTATGCATACATGTACACATGTCAAACGAACCAAATGCTTATTTATGTTTACAAACAAAAACTACGTGTTGGTATCATCGGCAAAACGTGAAATTTAATTTATAAATTAAACTGATGAGGAAGCTATACATCTATTTAACACGTGCGTGAAAGAAGTATTGAATTCGCTAATGACCCAAAACACTTGGTATACTAATACAGCTCTGGGTAAATCTAACTACACTA